CTTCTCTGAGTGCCCCATCTCACCATGGCACCCAAGCCTGCTCTCTTCACAGTGCCCACGAGAGCCAAGCTCATCTCCTTCCCCCAGCACTTCTTCCAAGGCAGCAAAGACATTGTATTTTTGGCCTTAATAATTAACCTAAGAGGCACCTTTGCACACGAACATGCACTGCACATATCTGCTACTTTTCCCCCCTACACTGCATCTGACAGCCCAACTGTCCTTCCCTTTTCTCAGTATCTCCCTTTGGAAGAGTTCACCCATGGATATAAAATCCTCTCCTCTGTACACAAAAGAGCAGGTGGATTTGTTTGAACTGGGCAGCACTCATTATGGATTGCTTTTACACAGCTCACCCTCCTGCAAGATGCCTCATTAGCATTGCCCAGTTATTGGTAATTATTGTATTTTAAATCAACAGCCAGCCTGAAAAGAAACAGCATGTGGAGCTCAGACCTCAGAAATGATGGCCTGGGTTCTTACTACAGTCCTACAACAGTCCCACTGTGGGATCTCTGGAAAGTCACTGACCCCCACTATCATTACTCTAAACCCTGCTAAACAGGAAGATTAGCTGAAAAAAATGATAAGTTATTAATGTAGCCCTAGCAGCAGTCTCATACAGGCACCATCATCTCTTCTGATTAAATTAATAGAAGCTCATCTCTTCAAAGGAATTTAGGGGCTTATTTTCACTATAAAAGCCAAAAGTCCAGGAAAGTAAGTACACTTGAACACCTCCTGGGGGAACAGAACCTGCATCTCTCAAGGCTTTTCTTTTTCTCCCAAGTTCACATCAATACGGCTTGTGGGACACCTAATACTCATTAAAACCAATATTTATTGATTGATTTAGGCACTTTTACAGTCACAGAAGAGCTTTCCATTCTTCCTTAGTACTATGTAGACAGAGCAGCAGCTTTTAGATAACAAAAATGCAAAAGCTGCAAGCACTCAGGATGAAGGCAGGCCAGTGCATACAGGTATTACAGTGTAAAGTGGTGAGCTCCTCCCTGAGGAACAGGCTCATGTATATGGCAGATATCTCACTTTTATTTAACCTGAATATAGTTTTTCTTATTCTCCCACACTTAGAGCAGGCTCTGAGTATCAACTGTTTTCATTCTGCAAAGTCAGTCGAGCACTTGTGGTTTTCCCTTCAGGAGGCTGTGACGAGAAAAGGGGTTGCCTTTATTTTTTCCTGTTTATTGTACTCAGGAGTTATCACAGTGTGACTCCAAATCTCTCCCCTTTGGGTTAAGAAAAACAGCATGTGATTCATCTAGGCAGTGTTAGGAAAAAACACTCTGGGAGTGCAAAACCAAGGTTTTAATTATTTTGGGGCAAGTAATCAGAAAGCACAATACGCCTGAAACCACCTTTTAGCAGCCTTCTGGAATATATAAGAACCTGGTCAAGCTTGGGCTGCCTGGGAGCCAGGTGAGAGCTTACAGGATCACACCATGGCTTGTTAAGACACTTTCACAAAGGTTTTTTGATTTCACTTGCACCAGCAGCCTCATGCTGAAAGGTTAGACTTGCAATCAAAGAGAATCTATGAGCGCAATGCACCATGAGCCATTTCTTAGTCACAGAAGGAAAAAGACAAAGATTTTCCCCCAGAACCAGTGGGGTATCATTCAGCATAGAATGGGAACCTGAATACAGCATTAATAAGAGTATCAGGTACATTGATCTATAGTTGGTGGGTTTGTGGAGCTCTGTGAAGCCCAAACCCAAGAGAAATGAAAAGGCAGACAAAGGGATGAAGCTGTGGTCTTTCTACACCAGAATATACAGAGGTATATTCACCCTTGGGAACCAGTTTCTTTGAAGGACAGAAGATTTTCTTGATGCTGTACAAGAAATTAGCAGCGAGGCAGGAGCTGGCTTTGTGTCTCCATGACTGTACCTGGTGTTGCCCATTCCTATCACACAGCTGTGGCAGGGGCCACTTCCCTGCTGCTCTCCATTTCAGGGACATGATTCCAGCCAAACAATCTCTCTGCCTTAAGTCAGCCTCTACAGATGAATTAATGCAATCCAAACTGGAAATTATGACAGGAAAGTCCAGTCTAGAAATGCATCACCTTTCTTTATAATGGTGCTAGGCAGTCTGGACAGTCCCACCAGTGACTGGTAACCTCTGGTGGTTTAAAAGGATGGAGGTCTAATGGTAGGTACTTTGGAACTCATTCTCTCCGGTTTTCTGCCAGGCCCTCAATTGCAGAGCTTCCTGTAAGCACTGAAATGCTAATCTTTCCCATTGCATCCATGTGGGCAGGGATGGGGATGTGGAACCCACGTGTTTTGCCACAGGGTTAATTATGGTGGCTTATGCATCACTGTACTGTCATGAAAGCAGGCTGATACTTCATGTTTCACACTGTACAATTCCACCATTGTCAAACATCAAATCCCCAAAACATAACACAGCCCTGTAAAGAAAGGGAATTAAATGATGTAATACATGGAGTACAAGCAATGCCCAAGAAAGGATAAGGAAAAGCCTAAGGAGCACAATCTTCCCTTGAGGCCTGAAACCCACACTAAGCAGCAACCCAAAGTGGTCACTCAGAGAAAGAACAGAGAAGCACATCAGGCCTGGAGTGCTGCTTCTTCCACCTTCCAGCTCCTGGCAATCTGCCATGAGGGGATTTCCTGAGCCAGAGGTTGCATCTGCATCAGTGTGTTTAACAGCCCCTGCTGGACCTATTTTCCATGAATTTGTCTAATTGCTTCTTGAATCCATATCTGTCAGCAATAAGTTCCACAACTGAATTATGCCCTGTGTGAAAAAGCACTTCTATTTGTTCTGGTCTCAAGTAGCTGCCTTAAAATTCCCTTCACTGCCCCTTTACTCCTACATTGTAACAGGGAATAGTCATTTCCAGTTCATTTTTCCCATGCCATTTATGACTTTACACACACCTGTATTACTTGTCTCTCTTCCAAACTGAACTGGCCTGTTTTATTTAATCCTCTCAGAAAGTAATTTTAGAACTCTGCACATCCTCGTTGCCCTCCTCTGTATCTTCTCTTTTTCCATCATGTCCTTTTTGGGAGAGGATGACCAGCACTTTGTGCTCCTTCAAGACATGGGTGGATCAGAACTTTGCAACCTGCATAAGGCCATTTTCTATTTTGTTAACTTACAGGAAATAGTCACACTGGCCACATACCTGTAGGATTAATCCCAGAACTGCATTCTGCATACAAAGGATGGGTAGGGAATACAAATGACAGAAATCATACAGATAAGAGTAAACATTTCTGGTTTAGTAAAGTGCTAAAGTGCAATTCATAGGGAAAAATCCATTATGAGCAATTAATAATTGCTCCAAAGTTCCATTTCTGCCTCAGGAAATCCTGAGCCCCTGCTAACTTCTGCCAGAGGAATGTACCATGGATTAGTACATAGTTTTATCCTTCTCAGAAGCTCTGAGTTGACCACTGTTGATAACAGATAAAGGAAGAGATAAATTTTTGGTTTCACATACCATCCTGCCTGTCTATGTGTTACAATTTCAGTGATTTTAATCACAGTTGCATCCCATAGAGCCCACTGCTTTCAAACCCAGGCTTGAGGCAGCTGCAATTTGAATTCATTTCATTCTAAGGTGGCACAAAAAGATCCAGATTTTGTGCACTGTGGCCAAATACAGTTCATGTTTGCTACAGAATTACACTCATCATTGCATCTAAATGTTCTCAGCCACCTCTTTCATACCCAGCATTATCTGTACCCCCTACCCCTTATCTCCAGCACCCCCAGACTCTGTATCTGTACTTTGGAGAGCACTTGCAAACAGATTCTGAATTATTTTTTAGAACAGATTAGCTAAAATGCATTGAATATCTATGTGGACTCATTCAGAATTAAAGCAGGCCTAATTCAATTTAACTTACTTCACTTCCAAAGTGAATTAAGTAAATGTAATTGAAGCTACTTAAATTCTGATTAAGAGTCTTGACATCTGCTGCAAGTGAAGCTCTATTATCCACAGGGAGTTAATTCACCACCATAAGTGTGGAAACACAACCAACTGCATAGCAGGAAAGCTGGAGAAAAAGGAAATCGTTAGTCCCTGAATTGCAATAATCACCACAGTGTATTTATGCTAAATGCCTATTTAATTTGGGGAGGCAACATTCTTGCATGACAAAAAAGGGAAATAGACTTACCTCACTTAGAAGAACAATCCTATAAAATTTTCCAGTAACTTCTTTTTTTTTTTTATTTTTGTAACAGAATTATAATTGTGTCAGAATTCCAGAGAAGTTGGTTAAGGAAAAAGGAGATGAACTTTCATCACAAGAAGTGCAACAGTAATCAAATTTTCTTTGCTAACTCATTGTTGTGCAAGTATCCATCTTTATGTGGGAATAGTAAAAATGGCTTAGAAAATTACCTCAGTTTTACATGGTACATCACAGAAAACCTCTCTTTGCCCCACTGTGCTTGTCTTCTCCCTGTCAATTTGATGTTTAATGCATTTGTTGTCACCTGATGGCAGAATCACAGAAACCTCAAGCTCTTGCTGCCTTGACACTGAACCTGTTTCAGGCCACATCTATGGATAACTCTACTGCTATTGACAGTGACAGAGAGGCATGTGGGTGTCCTGTTTCTTCATGATCTGCTTTTACTATCTCTCAAGAGTCCTGCTAATTGAAAAAAATCAAGGTTTATTACACTTTGTGCAATATTCAGTTCATCCCATGCCATCATTATGCTGATTTTTTGTGTACAGCAGTAGTTATTTACAACTGAACTTGAATCTAAAAAGCACTTTTTTCAGCTTATTCTTCACTTCCCTGCTGACAAGCACAGCAAAAGTAGAATTGCTGGGGTTACTGGTCCAACCTGGGCTTAGGAAGATCAGCAATACCTGAATATAGAGTGCAGCTCCAAGCAGCAAAATGTTGCCTGAGAGCAAAACAAGGTAGTAGTGGCCAAGAGAACAGGTACCTTCTTGAGACTTACACAGCCTAGAAATCCTCCCCAGCTCTCTCCAGGTATCTGAGTCCTTGTTTCTGTGGGTATCTGAAGTCCTTGTGGTCCAAGGCTCTTGTTGTCCAAGTCCCAATTCATGCTGGTCTATATGATTCTAGAGATAAATAAGAAATAAAGCTGAGACCCTTCCCATGAAGAAAATCTAAGACCTTTTCTGTACCAGCCTCACACCCAGTAATGAAGGGCTAAAGGTCATTTTCTGTCATAAATATATGCATTTTTCCTAACTTTATCTTTTAAAACTTTACAAGGTTTAACACTTGTTCCTTCCTGTACATCCCATCCCAACAGCTGCACTGCCAGGGGTAATTTCTCCATATTCTTTAATATTAACACTACATGTTGAAAATGTGGGTTTCAGCCAAGAAACTTGCTTCTTTTCCCTTCCTTCTGTTGGATTTCATTCAGATAGAATTGCACCATATAATCAAGGGTAATTTCATAGGCTATTGTGAGAAATTTTCAGTAGAAATCTGAAGGCTTCTTGTCTTTCCTGATGGGATAACATGGAGCAAGTTCTACACCAGCTCTCCTTGTCTACCCCATAGAAAGAGTGTCAAGGATATGCCTCTCCCTGTATACTACTCTCCTCCACAAATTCCCCAACACAGTCCAGCTTATTTTCAGGTTGTACTGGAACCTTCAAACTTGTTAACTTGCTTTAATTATCTTTCACTAACAATCAGACTAACAATCAGAATAATTTTTCTATTTTAAAAAGTACTGCCTGAAATAGAAACACAAAAAAGTTGACTAAAATGGTGGTGGGGGGGAAATTCATATCTGAGACTAAAACATTTTGTTCTGAAAATTCCCTTTACAAAGTACATATTGACACCAAGGGAGAAGAGGGGAAAAGGTGCTACACGATATTTCTGAGAGATTTATTCCTCTGAGAAAATGTTTGTTGGCAAAGACAGGGGAGAAGGAGAAAAAAAAGGGTAGAAAAAAAGCCACACAAAAAACCCCAACCCAAACCCCAGAAAGAAGTGGGGAAGAATATTTAAGTGACATAAACATTCAAGACCTTCCTACCTCATCCCCAAATCATTTCAGAGCAGGACTAATAATATGATTTTAATGACACTTGTGTAGGAATCAGTTTTCCCACCTGGAATTTCTTGCCTGACAAAATGATCAAGGCCTTGGCCTCAGGTAACTCATAGAGAAATAATATGTGAGAAAAATATAATTGTAATGTCTTCTACCAAAACCAATGACCAGCTGTGCCCTCTCTACTGGTGTATTAGTTCACTCCTCTCAGATAATGGGGAAGTAGCTTTGCTGTGTGGTCGTAAATGAAGTAGACTGGAGTAGTTAGTTCAAAAGTGACAGAAAAAAGAATTCCAAGAACTCAACTGAGAAGCTTACTGGAAAAGTGGGGCTGAAGATCTAAATGCAGGAGGTGGATGATTCAGTAATGAATGGAAGGCTCATTTTGACAGCTTGGGCTGCCATCCAAGCTAATTTGTTTCCAAGCCTTCAGTTTGCCAACTGAAGTGGCTGAGGAATAATAGGCCCCAAAAATATTTCTAAGGAAACACAATGCCCATTATCACTGAAGGAGAAAGAATCTGCACGTTTCAAAGAGGCAAAAGAAATTTGAGATCTGCCAACTTTGGCCAGTTCCAAATGACACAGGAAGGAGCAGTTACAATGTACTGAAAGGAAAGAAATAGAGCATTGTTAAATAAAGTAAATTCAAAGTAAAAGTCGTCATAAAAAACAGACACAATAAATAGAAGGATGATTCTTTTAGAGAGAGATGATTTTATGGCTGAGCCCATGCAAGCAGCCTATGAAAAAGAAAAGAGGGGCATAGGAAAAAATTGAAAAGAAACTGGTAAAGAGAAGTAGTATATAGTAAAATGAAGAATAATGAAGCAGTACCTTTAAGATCAACTTGGTCATCATAGTATTTCATATAAACTCGCCTGGATATTTTAAAAACATTAGAAACTTTAAAAATTCCCACACACAAACATTTTGTAGCTCTCACTAAAGTCAACAACAGCAAGAAGCGTCTTGCAATTGTCAGCACAGGTTAAGCCTGTCCTTATCCTTCCAGTTTCTGTGCAGAAACACCCACCTTACCCCCGTGGCACAGGAAATATCTATGGAGGTTGTATACTCCTTTCCACCACAGACTTCACTTCTTCAGTGAAGAACAGGTGAAGAGGCTAGACATGGCTGGTGTATATATAAAAAGCTTTTTTTGTTGTTTGTTTTACTTTATGCAAACACATTAAAATGCTTATTACTTGTAAAAATATTTCCTTATTATATTTTTTCTACCTAAGGGCAAAAAAATCCATTTTTCTGCTCTAAGACTTGCTCAGCAAAATACTAGAGTTACCTGTCAGCCTTCAGCTTAGGTTTTCCTAACAATCAGCAGCTGCAAAACTCACCTTTCTCACCTGCTACTCACTTGATGCTACAAACAGACCTTTTTCGTGCACAAAAGGAAAGTAGCATTTTACTAAGAGACTTGCCAGCCTTTTAGATGATACCATCTCTGTGATGCCCCATCAACACCTGACTATAAAAACAGCTTTCTCATCCTCCTAAACACCTTTCTGATCTGAAACCTTTTTTTTCCTGCATTTTTAAATAAATGGAGAAAGAATGAAACTACTGTAATTGTCTTGCACTAGACAGATTTCTAAGCTTCAGGTGGTTTTAGATGCACATTTCATGGTCAGTGTTATTGAGGACCGTTCCTAATAAATTTATACATGTGCTCACCACCTCCATTTCCACTGAGAAGGGAATCTAGCACTGAAGGTTACTTTTCCTATTTATAATACAATTGCACTACCAGGCCACTTAATTAAATGGGCACTCAAAGCTAACTGTGTTCCCTCAGGGTAACTCTAAATTGCAATGGGAAGGTGCGACTGCGATTTTAGTAGTTGTACCAAGCCCAACTTCCACCCCAGGAGGATCAGTAGCAACAAAGCTACACCTGAGCAGGTTTCACTGCAGGCTGAATCACTGCACACATATTCACACACAACTCTGTGTGTTTTACAGCAGTCAGATTAAAACTAGCTACAGCAGAACCAGGGCCAGCACTGGAGTCAAGAAATATCTGAGAAGACAAGAGATGGACTCCCTTCCCCTTCCCAGTGAATTTCTACCTAAATTAATTTCAGAGCCCTTGTAACTGTCCTGTTGCTTGTCCCCAAAGCCAATAGTGTTTCCACGTGCTCATTTGCAGCAAAGGTGCACTATTAATGAGTATGCACTGCCATACCTTGCATTTTTTTCATGTCAGTGGCTTTCATGGGTGGTCACCTCTCCACAGCATAGCCCAAGGACTTACTCAATACCTTGCAAATTGATTCTTCCTCATGAGAGGGTACTGGCTGGATGCCACTGAAACAGAAATAACCATGTTTCCAGAGGTAAGATTGTTTGTGTTTACTCAATAAGCTGCATATTCACAAAATTCTATCATTGGAAAATCCAAGTATTTTAAGAAACTAACCTTTCAATGGAATTCTGACAAGGCAGGATGTTTTGATGATAGATGAACAGTATCCTGCCACAGTTAAACAGATTACTATTTGTGAATTTTGACATGATTACTGATTTCCTCAACAGATTTAAAGTCTAAGTTTATCTTCATGTTAATCCAATTTCATGCCTAGAACAGAGCAAGCACAACAGAATGTCTTTCGTAACCTTCTGATATCATTAATTATTGCTACATTGGGAGTTACAGCATGGAACAAACAGGTTTTTAAATGGAAATCATTTGTCTCTCAGCAGGGAGACTCAACAGTTTTATTTCCTTCAACACCAAGCTGCATTCAAGTAATCTTGTTTCATGGTGATCCTCCTTCGACAACCTGCAAGTCAGTGGTGAAATGCCATTTATTTTGTCCCTGGATTGGTCAAATATGCTGCCCATAAGGGGAGGTGTCTATTTCCTCTCCTAATTGTGGAGGAAGGGTTTTCTATATGTTAAGGCCACACTTTCCCCAAGGTGTGGGCATTTGGTCAGGTTTCCTGGTGATTTTCCACAAAAGGAAATCCCCTAACTCATTAAAAAAAAAAATAGATTAATTGACCGGTTCAGTAACAAGCTGCCCCAGGACCCAATAAACTTTACAAAGGGTACATTCCAATTATGACTGGGCTCAGCATGAACCCGATAAGTAAGCCAGCAGAGTCCTTCTCCAGCATTAAGAGTGGGTTTTTTTCTCTTTTTCCTCCATTAATTTAACTCTTTCTTGGCACTTGTGGATTGACCAACTCTTTGTTTTCCCTCTCCCTGTGAATGTTAACCCTGCTAAAGAACTCCCAGCAATGAGATCTAATGGGCTCAATAAAGCCAAGCCTTGGTCTCCAGTCACTTTCTTGGCACTGCTGTGGCCTTGTCAGAAGGGTCAGCTACAGTGCTGTCTCCTTCCACCCTTTGCCTGGTGTCATAAAATGAACCCAGCTCTCAGACCAGGACAGGGAAGAGGGAAAAAGTGATTTTCTCTCAACAGAAACATCTAGTGAAGCAACTGGAACTACCTGCTAGCATAGCAGAGCTACAAGCCTGCCTTCCCTGTGTGAGAGGGGTGGGAGGGGTACAGGGGCTTTTGGTAACAGCCATAATTGCAGCAGCAGGAGAAGGAAATGCAAGGCAGGTATCAAGCTGGGGAGACAAAACCAAAGGTTTCTGGCTACAAAACATTGTTTTACATTCTCACATGTTAGTCCATCATGGCATTAGTTGATACAGACACACAAGAACATCTAAGACTCAAGTACTCCTGACCCTTTTGTGCCCACCCCTGTTCTTGGCAGCAAAAAAGCCCGATCTTGGTAGCATGTACCTGTCAGATGTGAGTAAGCCTGGTCAGCCAAAAAGAAGAGCTCTTGGTTTCAGGTCTTTGCAGCAGTTCCCCACCTGAGGCACCAAGCTGAGTGAAGATACAGAAGACCACACAGATCAACTCTGTCTCCTCCCTGCCTATGAGGAACACTGTGGAAGCTCAGGCTGAGCACAGGGTTGTCCTCAGGTACAAAAGAAATCATTTGACCAATCTGGCAACATCTGGATTTGTCTCAAACAATCATCAAGCATCTCCTCCAGAGACAGCACATGAAGGTCAGGTGGCAGTGCCCCATGAACTGCATTTTCTCTGCAGAACCCCCAGCCTGAGCCTTCTGCCACACAGCCCAACCGGGGTGCGAGGCAGCCTTTATTCACAGAGGCTTCTTTAGCTGGCTAGCCATGTAAAGCAAATCTACACACCTGCCTTGTAACTACTGTTACTTTAAACACATAAAAATGCACAGAAATTTGTATAGAAGACACTTAAACTGTTTGGACCTGCATCTACTTCTGCTCAGATTTTGAATATCATTTTCATACATTTATTATGCCTAGCCTGCACCGTATTTCTTATAGGAGCAAGAATAGCTGTAATTATTGTTGTCAATCAAAGTTTCTCTGAAGTCCTCAGCTTTACTGTTTCAATAACTCATTTTAACCGGTGGCAAATGTCTTCAACAAGCACTAGAGCCTAATTTGCAGTCTGGTTCCCTTGTCATTTTCTGAGTCATCTTGGTGGAATGCTGTGAGGCAAGAGATTAGTTTTAGGACTTTTTTTCATCTCCTTTTTCTTTACATCTGAGAGCTGTTAAGAAGTTTGGTTTCAATAGCTCAGACATATCCAAGGCGTACTAGGGGTACCCAAGGTGCAATGAAATACAAAGTTTATTCTACTTCACTACAAAGAAGATACCTGATAAACTGTTTCAAAGTCAGGCTTAGCACATGCAGGTGCAGCTGTTATTGGTTTCACTGGAATTACAGTTGCTTACAACTGGTGCTGGATTTAGCCCCTTACAAGTAAACTCTTCAGCATCACCGGGAGCTCAACTGTGATTGCACGCAGTTGATTTACATTGTTGGTGTAAATCAGAAGTAATTCTACCAATGATACACAACCCTCGAGGTAAACATCAACCTCCCAAAATAGCTAAGATGCCAAAAATAAACATGATACAATACTGATGGATTTATAGGCAACTGACAGTTTCCTCCTCAGGTTCTTAATCAGGTCTCACCGAGAGGTGCTAATATAATTAGGGATGAGATATGGATTAATAGGAAGAAAATATCATAACCTCCCTCTTACAATAAAACAATTCGTACACTGTACTTACCTGCAAACTGCTCCATTCTTCTGGTAGCATGACATTTGCTAAGGCAAAAGCCTGTTGATAATTCTCTATAGTCCTATATAGCACTCAGCCATGGCTGCTCTTCAAAAGGCCATATTTATCCCCTGGGAAATATAGCTGTATTAATATGACATTTTGTCACAAATTAATCTTAAACAGGGTAATATTTTTGACACTGAGTTGAAACTGGAACTAAAAGGCAGTTCAGGTGGTTAAAGTGGCAATATCCTGTAGCAGACTTATATTCCCTGAGATAATACTGTTATGGTGTAAGTACCAATGTACTGGGATGTACAAAGGGGGAGAACTGTGCAAGTCTTTCTTCATTTTAACAACATACAGGATCGTTGGCCTTCTACTCTTTATTACAGCTGGCACTGTAGTAATGCCCACTGATTCCAAACACCAGAGCCTGTAGTGCCAGGTGCAGGATAGAATAACAAACCTTGTGATCAGAAAAAGCAGCCAAGACAGATAATTAGCACCTCATCTCCCATCATGATGGGCTGCACTGCTAGAAGAAGACAGACAGTTTAACAAAGATTATCTTTTTTAAAAAAGTAATTTCTCATTAAAGCGATTAAAAGTGGCCTGGTCTGGTTTTTAATTGAAGTCCCGTGGCACAAGTCAGTTGTGACGAAAGGGATTCTCTGTGATGTGCTCTCTTTCCTGCTGTGGAAGTTCCCAGGCTTTGTACAGTTCATCAATGCCAGGCTAATTAGCACAACGCAATCTTACCACTTACACCCACTTCCCAACTCATTTGCACATAGTTCCCAGTACTACAGAAATCAGGGTAAATTCATACTACAGATTTCCACATCCTATTGATCCTATTACACAGAGGATGCTGTAAACCTTTTTTTGTTCCATTCCTCCGAACTACACAATGTTGATGGTCACTGAGGATTTGGTGATTTGGTGGACCCCAAATACTACCTTATGGGCACTTCAGTGAACATCTCAGCTGTTCTTCACCAACTGCACGTCATCTGCCTTCAATGGGATCATTTTCATTAAGATTAATGTCTCCTCCCTGGCTGTTCAGCTCAATTCTCTCCTCAGCCTGAAGGCTGCAGCCACAGGCCATGCAGATATTTGTGTTACACACAGACAGGAATACCCACACTCCTGATCTGTTCAATATCAGTCCTGGAGATGTGACGTGAAGCCCGCTGACCACTAACAGTCATTAAAGATCCTATGACACTTTTTGCAAGAGCAGAGGGTGTTATTAACTCCAGGATCCTGGCCATGTTCCAGTTTGGATAATTACATTCTACCACACTAAACTTCCCCCCACGGTTTCAGACGGGGAACTTCTGTTCTTCACTTCCTCTTGTAACAACCAGAGCGAAGTGTCGCTGGCGCTGAAATGCCAACACGTCCCGGCCCCGAGCTGGGCACAGGGCTCAGCCCGTGGCTACAATGTGCATTCTGCAAAATGCCCTGGGACTCGTTAGTAAAGACAAAGAAAACCATAAAAACACAGCTCCAACCTCGGTGATTCTGCAGGTTGGTCACACACGCACATGTTGCTGCATTTCATTTCTGCCCACATGAAAGGGCTGGGTGTCTACCAGTGCTGTCCTCAGGCTGGACAAAGAGGTTTTGCTACTGAGTGTTTTATCAAGTGCTCAGGCGTAAGAATCAATCCAGCAAAGAGCTGAAATTCAGGCCTGTTTATGCCTTGGTTGTACTCAGTGTCCACGAGTTTTTTAGGTAGCAACTGGATCTTCTGGAAGCAGACAGCAAATATAAGCAGCTCTAATTTCTGTATCAGGGAACACCAGAAAATATTAAACTAAGGACAAAATTTGTTACTTGAACAGGAAACCATGTGTGTTTATCCAGCAGAGTTGCTTGCTCCTTGTAGGTACTGTGAAATAAGAGTAAAATGCATCCGTAGTGAGGCAACAAAGGCCCACAGGGTACCATTATCATGACCTGGAGAGAGAGAAGGAACAGAAGAGACAATGTAAGAGAGGGAAGCGCTTCCTGTGACTTTGTCTGGAGAGGCAACTCACCACCTATTTAGTTTTAAAGGCTCGTTTGATTGATTTTCTTACTAAAAACATTCCTGGGAAGTCTAAGTGTGGACTCGGAAATTATGATGGCTGAAGGGACCAAATCACTGAACTATTAAAGAAACTTTGAAAATACTATTTCTGTGTTCATTTGAGAGCAAACAGACAGAAATCTCTTCTCTGAATTCCTCCAGCTTAGCATAAGAAAGATGATGCACTGTAGATTCTGTTGCTCCAGGCAACTGATGAGGAACATCTTTGATGTGCTTTGATTAATGTTGGCTTCTTTGATTCAATGATATTTGGTTCCAGCTCCACTTTAAAAATAAAAAATCCTTACTACCACAGGGAAAAATATTAAGGACACTTGCTTGGAAAACACTTGGGCTTATGTTAAGAGTTCTTATTCAAGATCAGAAAGTTTTCCTGCCTGTATTGTTCTCTCTCCTTTGAGCTGGTCACCTTGACTGCAAACCTGGACACCAGGTACACTCTCCTGGGGTAAAACTTTCCATCTTTTAGGACAATAAAAAACAGGAGTGAAAGGGACTGCCCGAGACCATGTCACTCCCTTTCCCTCCCAAATCACCTGGTTGTTTCTAGCAGACATCTGTCTGTCTCTGTGATGGAGGTTTCGTGCTCCCCTGGAGTGATCTATTTTGGGATTTAACTATCCTACCCACTCACTCCTTCAGACAAAGGGATGCTGTCAGGAAACATCAGACCTCCAGAGAAATACAGCCATTTCTGTAGTAAACTGTGGAAGCTGTATAAAAATAGAGAGAGCAAATAGCTTTAGTGATGTTTGATTACAAAAATGAAAACAGATTATGTATCCAAACTGGGTGGAAAGGGATTCACTCAGAATCAGAACAGTGGGAATCTACCCGGTTTTCCTGGTTATTCCACAACTTTGAGACTTTATCATTTTGAGTCTAGCAGCTTTGGATTAATCAGACCAGACCACAATACCCAGCTATCTCAGTCTGACATCCAGTTAACAGTAGAAGGAACAGAGCCAGGAAGCAGAAGGAGGAAAAGAGGGACCACCTATCATGTTTCATTCACTGGGCAGACATCCTCCAACTCACAGTCCAAGAAAACTCCCACTTGTTTCTGAACGAGCTGTTCAAAAGCAGCGTTTTCCTGAATGGATCAGCACAGCTCCCAGACTAAAGGCTATTCTAGAATAAGTCAATGGCATTTTTATCCTACTCTGAGTTAATATTAGTCCACAATGCAGTGTGTATCCTGATAGTGGTTTAAGATTTTTTTTAATTTTTTTTTTTTTTTTTTTAGGAAATGTGAATTCCCGTATGCCCTACTTTGGTAGCTTAAAGATTGTAGGAGGTCAAAAAAAATAGGTCAGTGAAAATAACATTGCAACAAGAAATTAATTGCAAAGAACGTTTAATATGACAGGGGACTACATAAAATCCTATTATATTTCTTCACTATTCTACTCAGTAGTCTGTACTATTGCTATACTCAAAGGCCAGGGCAGTCTCCCAGGGTAAATTGCTACATTAGTTTGACATTTCTGGCTCCAATTAACCTTATATTTGAGCTATTTTCCGAGGGTTTTTTTAAAAAAGTCTGTGATAAGGTTATGTTTTTCTATTAGAGTTTCAATTGCTTAATGGTCTGTTCCTGATGCCAATCCCTCTTTAAACACACTCTCAGTAAGAAAATTAGGCCATAGTTTGACAATACATTGCTTTTGGCAGCAGGACCAGCCTAAGGTCTTCCAAGCTCCCCCTCCTTGGCCCTGTCCTCACAGGACAACTCACTATCCCCTCCTTTGCTCTTCCTCAGGACTAAATGCTTCACTGCAATCCAGGAACTACAGCTTCAAAAGCTTTGCCAAATCCCCCTGTCTTACCCAGTCTGGGCTGGGAAGGAATTAGAACATTGAGGATCTGATTTCTTCATGGAAAGAGTCATTAAGCATTGGGAGGGGCTGCCCAAGAAGGTGGTGGAGTTACCACCCCTGAAGGTGTTCAAGGAATGACTGGAAACGCCACTTTGCGGACAAGGTGGCAATGGGTCAAAGGTTGGACTCGATGATCTTGGAGCTCTTTCCCAACCTAAATGATTCCAGCTAGGAGCTGGACTCTATGATCCTTGTGGGCCCCTTCCAATTTGGCATATTCTGTGATTCTTTGAATGGCATAAGCTGGATTAGAGAGGTGTTCCATGTGCAAAGCAACCTTGATAGAGAAGACACAAGATTCACCTCCCAATCTATATATTAAATGAAAAGAACATGGAAACAAGCAATGCAAACAATTGTCTCAACAAGGAAAGAGCAGGACTAAGGTCTTGCTTATACCTTAAGCACAGACTAGAAGTACATTTGCTCTGGTGCTCCTTGCAGCTCTTCCTGGCATTTTGAACAGATGATTCCAATGCAGCAAACGCTGCCAAGAACACGCAAACATTTGTTGAGAACCAATGAACTCTGCCCACAGCTGCAGATCCAGCCAGATCAGTACCTTACGGGGAAGAAGTCAAAGAGAAACAAGATGAAATTCAAGAAAGCTTTCTCTATGGCCATTTGCCAAAATAATATTCAGTGAAAGACACCAGTAGTGAAATTATCTTCCTCCCGTTCCACAGACATAAACATATATTCATTATTTGAGCTTCACCAGAAAGTAATTCTTGGGAGAAAGTCTTGGCCTGTAATTTTCTGGCAAGCAGTTCGCTCCAAGTATGAAATTTTCAAAACATGAAATTCAAGCTCTATGACCTACAGTCTGGCAGACGAGTCGATTTTAATGCTTTAATCACGATCCTGCTATAAATGCTTACATTTATGAATGCAAATTCATTAGCTACGAGCACTTGCCAAAAAAAATACGTATTTTTGAAACATTCCCAATGTCAAGTCTGCTTATTTTAATGTTTCCGGAATAGAATTACTTGGGAAGTGAAACATCTTAGATTTTATTTTTATTTTCGTATTAATGTGTTTCAAATGGAAAGAATAATAGCCAGATTTTGCAGCTCCATCGAGCTCCAGTATTAGGTGAGGGGGTAATAATACTGCACAAAGCATCATAGAGACAACTACAGAAGTGGGAGAGCTGAGATATGGTTGGCAAGGAAACCACAACTGACAATAGCCTGGATTTTCACATGCAGAACCCACAGCTCTGTGATGTTAATTATGTACAGCTCTGCTGCTGAACTCACCCCATTGCCTGCCACATGAGCCAAACTAAGCAAATACTTCATCACCTCACTGGATTTCTCTGATAGACCCAACGGAAGCAAATGATAAAATCTTCCTTTATTTCCGTGGACAAAGATCAGGATCTTTGGCCTTATTTTATTTACTTCAATCCATTCTTAATATTATTTACCTTCCAAACTCGACGATATGGTAAAATCCATATGATGCAATTCTGTCCTCTACTCAAAAAACAAACAGATTTTTCTCACGCAGAGTGAGAAAATAATCATGGCTAAGATTTTTGAAAGATCGATATTTCAGTGAGGCAACTTAATAAGTCATGGTATGGTCTTTAACAGCACAGGAGCTCTTGAAAGCACATAACAAAAATGAAGACACTTTTTTAAAGTGTCTAAAGACAGTGACTAAAGAAAGTTCAGGTCAGTTTAGTAACCATCAAAAAATCTCAATACTAAAATGATAATTCTGAACTATAATAATCAATCCCTTCAATCCAGAAAACATGGTCAATATGTTGTTAAAATAAGGCATATATAGAAATTATTAAACCAGATTAAAGCCACTACTGAAACACAAATCCCAAGTGTGATTTGCAGCCTCTGTGGAGCTGCACAGACTTGCAGCAGACTTCAGGGAAGTTTCAGCTCCATTTCCACAGAGAAACTGGCTGTTGCTCTGTCCCCTCCTCTCAGGACCAAAGAGCTCAACCCCAAAATAAATAAGCCTCACGTGGAAGAAACCTTTCCAAACTTTAACTCTACAGCACCTATTGATAGTGCATTTTGAACCCAGAGGTCTGAGACACAGATCCTGTACAAAGCTAAGGTCAGGAGAGGTCCTGCCCTCTGTGCCAGCTTGTGTGCTCCGGAGCTAATCCCTGACAGGACATTCCTGCCAAGGCAGGAGGAGCTGCAGGGCTGTGAAACCCTGCACTGGACCCAGAATTCCCCTCACCCCTCCCTGCTCACTGCTGCCCAAAACCAGCAGAGCCAACCATTAAGTCATCTTCTGCCAATTTGCATTGGAAATGTCCTGTGAGCACCACTTTATCCACCGGGAGGTTCCTGGCGTATCATTTATTTATTGTGTTGTCTAAAAATTACCTTCAGAAATATAAATGCTAATTTGACTGTAAAAAAGATTGCACCGAGGCAGAGATTCAGGCTGGGGGATGTTTTCTACATTCATTAATGCAAAATAAACTGCTCTGGTTTTCGGGAGCGAAGGATCAAGGACTGTCTTTTACATAATTAAAAATCTGAAATTTTCCCATTATCTTCCCTGCACAAGATTCCGAATTCAGAAAACACCTCTGTGAGTATTAATTGTGCAGAATAATATGGCTGACTGTCTGTATGATCTCTCCCTCCTTTGATGTTTAAATTGATCCTGGTATTCTGGAGACAGCTTCTGCAGAACCGATTGCCTTGTCTTTATTTTAGCTAGGTTCATTCAAAGGGCAAAATATCTAAGCATTCAGCTTTTGACCCTACTAGCAAATATTTAATGTATGAATTAAACTGGACAGGGTTTTGCCAGAAGCTCTCTTCATGTTTTATTTCTGAAGCTATTTTTACCAACATTTAATCGCTTAAATGTAAGGAGATAAAGACATCCCTGACAAACTGTGTTTATTGAGCTAAATGCCATCAAGGAAAGCCCTTTTATTTTTTTATAATGGGTTCAGTGCACTTTGTATCTATGGCTTTATCCTGGAACACACTGTTACCATCCTGGAGGATGATACAGTACCTAATATACTCCTAAATAAATGCACAAGTGGATGGGCACAGGAGGCAGCTTGACAAAGAGACGGATGGATAAACTTGAAACCATCTTTAATAGGCTCCCAGGAAATAAAAGAGTGGTTACAATCTCCAGTTACT